AAATAAGCTGAAAAACTGCTATTTTCTAGAGCATTTTCTCAATCCATTGAGATTTTCTTCCCAGAAACTGTCATCTGTTTGGCTGAAATAACTCACGAAAATTCTCTATAGGTTTGGACATTTCTTACATCGACTATAACAACTGAGGGGAAAATGTCCTTATAAAAATTGTTAAAATTTTAGAAATAGCCATAACAACAAACTGTGTATGATTTATATTTTTTAAAAAATCTATGCAAAGATATTAAAAAATTTGATTTAAAAACACTCCCTTACCCAGCCAATGTGGCTCAGTGATTGAGCATCGACCTGTGCACCAAGAGGTCGCTGGTTCAATTCCCGGTCAGGGCACATGCCCTGGTTGTGGGCCAAATCCCCAATGGGGGGCATGTAGGAGGCAGCCAATTAATATTCTCTCTCATAGATGTTTCCATCTCTCGCTCCTTCTCCCTTCCTCCCTCTCTAAAAATCAATAAAGAAAAAAAAAAAATTATTAAAAGAAATTTTAAAAAAGCACTCCCCTAATTTTCCTTAAAAAGACTAAACATTGTAAACAGATGAATTTATCCAAATAATTTATATGATTAATGTAAAACTGACCCCCCATAATTCCAAAGATAAAAGAATTATTTTTCATATTGAAAAATTATTCTAAAATTCCTCTGGAAGAATAAAGATGGAAAAATAGGTCTGAACACTGAAGAATAACAAACTATTTCACAAAAAGATGATTAGAAATTGGTTCTTTATAAATAAATAAAATTATACTGTATGCTGAACATCAACAACACAAACAAATTCCAGTTGGATTAAACAATTAGATTAAAAGATAAAATTTTTGAAGAAAAGGGAGGCAACTTAGTGGTTTCCCAATGGGAATCTTCTAAGAATAAAAGCAGTGTAAGTACTCACTGAGGAAAAACCTAGATTTGACTTAGGGGTGAAAAAACCTGATCATTAATAAACATCATAAAAATGTATGAGAAAGTTCTCACTAATAACAAAAGAAATGCAATAAGTGTGTATCTTTCTATAACATACAATGTTGAAGGTATTTTTAATTTATATAAAAGATATTGGACTATATGCCTCTTCATATCTCTTTTGTTGGTGGTGGTTTTTTATAATATTTTCTTCCAGTCTGCTTATGGTGTTCTTCATGAAAAGGATTTTATAAATGAAAATTAATCTTCAACCTTTTCCCCTATCTGGATATTATCTTTCTTTCTGCTTCCGATCAACACCTTTTACAATTCAAAAGCAGTACAGGTGCTGGGACAACTGGATATCCCATAAACAAAATTAATTTGGACCCTTGTACTTCATATCATATATATCAAAATGAATTAACATTCTAAATATAAGAGCTACAGCTATAAGAGTCTCAGACAAAAACCATAGCTGTAAATCTTCATGACTTTGGATATGGCTATGAAGTCTTAGATATGACACCAGAAATATGAGCAACAACAACAAAAAAAAAGGATAAACTGAACTTGGTTGACATTAAAAACTTGTGGATCAAAGCGCATCATCAAGAAAGTGAAGACCTAGAAAATGGAAGAGAGCCTTTCTGTTCTAGGCCCTAGTGGCTGCCTTCAAAATTGGCAAGTTTATGAAACCCAGCAAGGTGGTGCTGATCATCATCAAGAACATTGATGATGGCATCTCAGACCGCCCCTACAGCCATGCTCTGGTGGCTGGAATTGACCACTATCCCTGCAAAGTGACAGCTGCCATGAGCAAGAAGAAAATTGCCAAGAGGTCGAAGATCAAATCTTTTCTGATTTATAACTACAATCACCTCATGCCTACAAGGAGCTCTGTGGATATCCCCTTGGACAAAACTGTCATCAACAAAGACATCTTCAGAGACCCTGCTCTGAAACTCAAGGCCAGAGGGGAGGCAAGGTCAAGTTCAGAGAGAGGTACAAGACCAGCGAGAACAAGTGGTTCTTCCAGAAGCTGCACTTTTAGATCTTTTTTGTTTCAGTGATTAAAAATAAAAAAATAAAAAAAAAATAATTTTTAAAAAGAATGGAAGAGACAATTTGTAAATCATATCTCTGATGAGAGTCTAATATCCAGGATATATAAAGATGAACAACCCAATGAAAAAAACATGAAACCAAAAAGATGAAAATCCAATTAAAATGAGACAACTGACTTGAAAATACTTTTCTCCAAAGAAGATATGTAAATGGCCTTAATAAGCACATGCAAAGATTTTCAACATTGATAGCCTAAGGAAAGGCAAATAAAAAACGCAATGAGATACCACTTCCCACTTTCTAGGATGGCCATACGTTTAAAAAAAAAAAAAAAGAGTAAAAGAACTAGTATTGGAAATGTTGTGGAGATATTAGAAGGCTCATAATGGCCACTGGGAGGGAACATGGGGCAGCAGTTGTGGAAAGTACTTTGATGGTTCCTCAAAAAGTTAAACACAGAATGACCATATGACCCAGCTATTTTCTCCTAGATACATAACCAAAAGAATAGAAAACAGCCCTGGCTGGTTTGGCTGAGCAGTTTGAGCATCGGCCCTTGGACCAAAGAGTCACAGGTTTGATTCCAGTCAAGGCATGTACCTCGGTTGCCGTTTGGTCCCCAACCCTGTCTTGCATTGATGTTTCTCTCCTCCCCATCTCCACCTCTCTATCTGAAGATAACTGGAAAAATATCCTTGGGTGAGGATTAAAAACAAAACAAGAAAAAATAATAGAAAACAGGTAATCAAAGAAATACATGAATATGCATATTCATAGCAGGATTGCTCTCAAATAGCCAAAAGGTAGAAACAAAACCAATGTCCACTAATGAATGAGTGGATAGACAAATTATGTTCTATCTATACAACAGAATATTATTCAGTGATGAAAAGGGATGAACTCTGACACATGCTACAACATGAACAGATCTTGAACACATGATGCTAAGTGAAAAAAGTCAGGCAAAAAAGGTCATGTATAATATGATTTAATTTATATGAAATATTCAGAATGCAAAGATCCATTTACACAGAAAGCAGATTGCCTTGGGTTGTCTGAAGGAGAGAATGGGAAGTAACTGCTTAGTACATACAAAGTTTTTCTTTGGAGTGATGAAATTTTGAGAAATACTAGATAAAGGTGATGATTTCACAACATTGTTAATGTACTAATTGCCACTGAATTGTTTATTTTTTTATAAATCCTTACCCAAGGATATTTTTTTATTTATCTTCAGATAGAGTATGAGGGCGGGGGGAGAGAGAGCGAAACATCGATGTTGCGAGAGACACATCGCTTGGTTGCCTCCACATGACCCCGACCGGAGCCGGGGATCGAACCGCAACTGAGGTACGTGCCCTTGACTGGAATCGAACCTGAGACTCTTTGGTCCACAGGCCGATGTTCCAACCACTGAGCCAAACCAGCCAGGGCTGAATTGTTCATTTTATTTTTAATTTTTTAATTTTTTTAATACTCACCTGAGGACATTTTTACAATACTCTTCAGGTAAAGCTAGAGGAGAGAGGGAAAGAGAGAGAGCGAGAAAACATCGATGTGAGAGAGACACATTGATTGGCTGCCACCTGCACAACCCTAACCGGGGCTGGGTATGAACCACAAATGAGGTACGTGCCCTTGGCTGGAATCAAACCCAGGCTTCTTTGGTCCAAGGATGACGCTCTTACTGCTGAGCCATACCGGCCAGGGCTGAATTGTTCATTTTGAAATGGTTAATTTTATGCCCAGCTGGTGTGGCTCAGTGGTCGAGCGTTGACCTATGCACCAAGAGGTCGCTGGTTCGACTCCTGGTCAGGGCACATGCCCAGGTTGTGGGCCAAATTCCCAAAGGGGGGGGCATGCAGGAATCAGCCAACTGATGTTCTCCCTCATCAATGTTTCTATCTCTCTCTCCCTCTCTTCCTCTCTCTCTAAAATCAATAAAGAAAATTAAAATAAATAAATAAAATGGTTAATTTTATGTTATGTAAATTTAATGTCAATAAAAATATTCTTCAAAAAAACCTATTACAGAGCTCATCTATGATCAAATTACTTATCAGTGCACTATAAGTGGTACATGGATATGCCAAATATAGTCCCAAAGCCTAATGAACTCAAAATCTACTTAGGGAACAAAGATGATCAATAAATAAAGCAACTACAATAAGAGAAATGTCCTCTCTCGGTGTCTAATGAGAGTTCAAAGATGCACGTCTGATTATACAGAAAAGGAATAATTTCTTACAGAAGATGACACTGGAAATGAGCTTTTAAGAGCTGAATAATATTTTTATTGTTAGAATTCTTATTGGAGAAATACAATAACATGAAGAGAGGTGTTAAATTATCATGTGGCTCACATGATAAGTTTCATAACATTAGCTTGTCCTACTTGGTTAATGCAAAAGCTACAAAATTGAGGCACAGGTATAAAAGACCAGATGTCAAAGGACTCCACCCCTGATGTCCCCACTGCCTGATGTTATGTTGGGCACATATTTGGTGATCAGTGAGTGTCAAATAAAAGATAAAATTAAAATGTGCATTAAAGAAACTTCCAAAAAAGTCAAGCACTAGAAAAAGTGTAAAAGAGTACCAGTAGCTAGCAGCATGTATTACCACTGAGACAGTCAGGCTCAGGCCAGTATGTGACAAGATGTGAGGTAAAAGGCAGAGCGCAATGAAACAAGAATGCATTGCAAGTGCAGTGAGTGGGAAATAAGTCTGGGCCATATAGGGAAACTTTGCGTGCTATCCTATGGGGTCTGGACTGTATCATAAATACATACCACAGTGACCATTGAGGTCTATTGTTGCATGGTCTTGATTAAGCATTATAAATGAGTGGGCAGTACGGGTACAGCTAAGTGTGGGGAAGTGTGGCCAAACATTCAGCCAGCTGAGGAATCTGCCCTCACCTTTGCCCCACGGCTGGGATTGAGCTGTACAGTAGATCTGGGGACACATATAGAGGGAAATGCTCACAGGCACAGTGTGTGCACCCCCTTATGGAGAGAAAAACCTGCCATAGAACAGAACGCAGTTGCCTTTATTGTGCCTGATGAAGAAAAGGAAGGGACAGTCCGCACAGAGCCTGGTCACTTCATCCGCCTCCCATTCCTCAGCATCCATGTCGATGGCAGCCGCGCCCTCGGTGCCTTCCTCATTCACCTCCACGAAACTTTTGTGCACCACCTGGGACACAAACAGCTCTTTCTCTGCTGACATTGCCGAAAAGTCAGCCTTATCCTGTTGAAAGGCATCAACTATTCCCAAACAATGAAGCACAGGTGCCATGTCATAACCCTCTTCCAGTTGAAATCTTGGAAGGAAAACTTGAACTTCAGTACTTATCATCCGGTATGGCGTGGTCCAGGCTATGAATTTCTCAAAAGTGAGGTTTTTTTTCCCACCTAGACAACCAGAGTTAGCCATTAGGATTCATACTTCAGCACATATAAATATGCTCACAGACACACTTAAGTACCAGTTCTTCTCTTAGAGATGGGTGTCAGTGGTCGCACAGGACCAGAGGCACCTTTATCTGCCAGGAGTTTTGTGAGATCTTGCAGTCACACCGTTGCACACGAGACTTCCTTGCCAAGCAGGGGAAACCTCTGAGCCCTAGAGCAGTGGTTCTCAACCTTCCTAATGCCGCGACCCTTTAATACATTTCTTCATGTTGTGGTAACCCCCAACCATAAAATTATTTTTGTTGCTACTTCATAACTGTAATTTTGCTACTGCTATGAATTGTAATGTAAGTATCTGATATGCAGAATGTATTTTCATTGTTACAAATTGAACAGAATTAAAGCATAGTGATTAATCACAAAAACAATATGTAATTATATATTGTGAAATATTTATTTCTAATTACAAATAAATGAAATTTTGTCTTGAAGCATGGTGTAGCGTGGGTAACAGTCTTACTATAACAACAGTAAACTGCATTGCTGCATTTTGCGACAGCATGCGTAAAAAGCCAACGTCAGTGCGAAGGTTGAGATTGCTTCTTTCTCACCAGATCAGAAATTCTCGGGGCAGTCTTTGCAAGAGCATAACGAAGATCATCTTCCACAATGAGTCTACTTCTGTAGTTCGACTTGATAACCAAAGAGCTGGAAACCCCGTTTCACAAAGATATGTTGTTGGAAATGGAAGAAGAAGGTGCAACATAGTCTCAGACAGAACAGGATATGACTGTAAACATTTGATTCAGAATTTTGAAACTGACATTGTAGAGAAATCAGTTCTTGCTGCATCTCTGTTAATAAATTCAATGAACTCCTCTTGCGCTGTCTCAGGAACATCTTCAACTTCGACTGTGAATGGGCTTCTGGCAAGTGCAAATGGGTGTCAGGTAGATTTGGAAAGTGCGATAAAATTTTGTCTGCAAGCATGTGCAAGTGCTCTTTCACAGAAATTATCATTATAATTCTTTTGTCTAGTTCAATGTCATGTTCCTCAAAGAAAGCAGGTAAGGTAGGTAACATGTAAATTTTATTTTCATCCTTTTTTTTTTTTTTTTTTGCCAAAGCTGAAGTTTCATTTGGAATGATTGGATCTTTTCAGACAAATTGAGGCATGTTGCATTTGGTCCTTGGAGTGATAAATTTAACTCATTCAAGATGGCAAAGATGTCAACCATGTAAGCTATTTGCTGCAGTTCACTTTTGTCGCTGAAAAGTGCTTCAAACTGCGGTCTTGCTTTCTGATTAAAAAACGGTATAGCCCCCAGAGGGAAAATCAGCTCAGGGGGAAATCCTGATGCTTTCTGGAGAAGCAACTTCATAGGGAGATGGACAGGAAGAGCCAAGGGCCGCAGCTCTCATCACACAGGCCCCTCAGGACACAGGAGCACTGCCCACCGGGCAATGGTTGTCCTCTCGCTCTGAGGACCCATGCTCAAAGAAACGAGGTGGGTGGCGAGTGCCACTCGGGGCTGTTTCTGGCTCTGTGCCTTGAGTGCTGGCTCCTGCCTTCCTCATCCCCCCTGGTTAGGTCAATGTGTAAGACTTCCCACCCACTGCTTCAGGTTCTGAATAAAGACAATGGTTCTTACTCTTTAAGAATACAATGCCAATAACCATGATTTTGACAATGATAAAGATCCCATTTTTAGAGGGTGTATATGTAAGCCTGTCCCTGGATTACCCCCCTTTTCTCCTCATAAAAACCCTCTCAGACAGATGTTGTTATTATCCCCAGTTTAGAGAGAAGGAAACAAACTGAGGTGAGTTAAGTAACCTGGAGTGGACACAGAGATAAGAATGGAGAATGGGTCGTAACAGACTCCAAAGCCCACGTGCTGAACATTGTGCTCCACTGCCTGGCCGCCCACATCACCAGCTTGAAAGCAAGCACAACAGGTCAACAGGTGAGCGTTCTAGCCTGTAGGGAAGGACACGCAGGGTGTCCCTGGGTTCACCTCACCGAGCGGAGGTCCACGCTGGCTTAGGCAGCAGAATGAGCATGCTCAGCTCCTCGCCCGCAGAAGGCAGCTCCAGCGCCTGGGTGTTCAATCGCCTGTAACTGGCTAAGACGCAGTGAACTTCTTAAACAAACTTTGGAGTTAATTTGGAGATGGTCCTCTTTTGGCGTACTGTTTTTAAGTCAGAGAATTATTGAAAAGTAAAACACCCACTGCCTGTGGCATAAAGTTTCCAATCTCCTGCTGCCTGATTGCCATTGTATGACTTTGAAGAGAGCACCAGCGACCAACGCGATGACACCAGTGTATTCCCCACCCGTCCTTCAGGGATTTACTCTTTGATGATGCAAATCAATGAACATTATCCAACGGATTCTGGCACACGGGTTGTGTACAGACTGAGTTAAAGAAACTGCATTAATTAAGCTGTTAATATTCCAGTTATCCACCTCAGGAAAAGACCTTCTCTTGATTTCACTGAAGAAAACAAATATGCACACCTTATGTTAACATGGGAATCGGTACAAAGAGTGAGATGTGTGATGCATCATAATCATGTGACCCATGCATTTGGTAACACTGCCAAGAAAGTGTAGGTAGAACAGATTATGAGTATGATTTCCATGACCAGAACATTGCTCTAACCAGCGGTTAAGTATTTCATCACGCTAACATTTATTTATTACCAAGACAATTTTTACCCACTTCCTGGCAGAGAATTAAGTAACCAAAGGAAATATGTAGTACGTAAAGATGGTTCCCTCATCATCTTGCACAAAATGGCGCTCATTATAATATAGAAAAGAAGGCAGACAGCTGCAGTGCAACCACATCTCTGTATCACTCACAAGAATGAAACATATCCCCCCCCAATACTTTGCATGATTGGTCTGAAACCTAATTTATAATTGATACCTATGAAAACTTTAACAGTGCATTTTTTTTAGAACTTTAGACTTGTACTGATTAAAGTGCGCAAGGTGAAAAACCTGAAGAATTGACACATTCTTAGATGATTTCGTATCACAGGAGGTTTCAAAAAATTTTCTAGGCAGAGCCTCATTTTATTAAAGGAGCCTCTACTTACTGTGTCATGAACCCTCACACTCTCCCATTAATGCACGTACAGTATAACTTCACGTACAGTATAACTTCTCACAGAGAACAGCATTCTACGAACTTGGAGAAATGTGTATTCTTTGTAAAATACATAGCAAAGGTCAAATGCAAGTATGAGAGTACAACACTGTTTGAATCAACACATTCGTGAACCGTACTGACGTTGCACAGTCTGTGGTAAAGTCCCATATTGGTGGTTCAGTTGCCTCTGCACAGGATGAAATGCAACGATTTGGTAAAACACTCAGAGTTCATTGGGAACTAGTTGTCTTTACCGCACTCTTCTGAGGACAGCAAATAATTGCAAAGCCAACCTCCCGCTGCCTCTGGAATAGTGCCCAACCTTCTCCCAGTGTGATTGCTGTAACGTTACGTTGAAGAAAATCCAGGCTTCGCCACACTGATACCACCAGGGTATTCCCCACACGTTAATTCATGACCCATCCCGCAGGTCGAGCAACGAGGACTCTAGAGGGGGAGTGAGGATGAGGAGGGACAAGAGACATGAGAAATGGAGACAAGACAGGGCTCTGATCAAGTCTCGTTTATTCAGGGGTATAGGGCAAGAAGCACCTGTTGCCAAGCACCAGGCTTGCCCTAAGCAAATCAAAGACTTAAAGAAATGCAAAATGCAGAGATAAAGAAATGCAGAATGCAGAGATATCCTGCCTTGGGGCAGGCCATGGCAGAGCCGATTTTAGCAAAATTGATGCCATGCAAAAAGTCTCCCACAAATTCAGGGATTTACTCTTTGGTGGTGCATATCGAGGTTTCTAACAACTTCACATTGGACTTGCTCGGTTTCACTGTTTCAAGAGTAGCACACGTGAAACACCAGTAGTGATCACTCTTCCCATAAATTCATACTAGGCCGCAGGTTGGCTCACTGTTTCGGGCAAGGATTAATGAATAAAACTGCTGCGGATTAAATGATATTCGTGCTCTAGTTAGACTCCCGAAAAGTCCTCCACTCCTTCCATCATCAGGACCAGGCATCTATTGTGAGCAGACATGGCTCGTACCATAAGAAGAGGTTTTATTCAGCAAGATAGCTGTGATACTCTGCATTTTCCAGAGGAACAAGTCTGATTGTCCTCATGTAAAGTATGCTCTGCAAATGTATTTAAGAAAACAATGTGACCAATGGATTTCTATCTAATTAGAGAAAGGTTTCCTGATAGAGTGGGAAGAACCTTACGGTTCACAACAATGCGGTGGAAAGTATAGGAGGCTATGCATTCAGAAAGCAGTCTCTCAGCACGTACCAAGAACCAGACATACCTTCATGCTTTTAAATTCAATTGTCCCAAGTCTGATCCTCTCCTACAGGGAAATAAGTTTTCAATTAGTGAAAGGCATATGCATGCAGAAGTTAATTGAAGTATTAAATTGGCTTTTAAAAGTTGCTACAGACCATTCACTATAAAAATTAAAATAGTTTCTAAAATCAATGCTAGAAAGGTTCTCCCCTCCTCACTTTGCAACAAAAGTCTGATTATTTAAAGCACCCCTTATCCAAAATATAAATAAAAGAGGGGGGTATTACCTAGTGTATGTTTTCAATTTTTTTAAATGGTATTCTTTAGCCCTGGCCGGTTTTGCTCAGTGGTTAAAGCATCGGCCCTTGGACCAATGAATTGTGGGTTCAGTTCCGGTCAAGGGCACGTACCTCAGTTGCAATTAGTCCCCAGCCCTGGTCAGGTTTGTGCGGGAGGCAACCAGTCGATGTGTCCCTCTCATGTCGATGTTTCTCTCCCTCCCTCCCTCTGTCTAAAGATAAATGGAAAAAAATCCTCAGGTGAGGAATAAAAAATAAAAATAAAATGGTATTCTTTAGGAGTTGTGGGATTTGGCACACTATTTTGATGTCTGCCTAAATAGAAATTATGCCTCAGTGTCAAGACTAAGATTGTAGTTGTTTCAATATTAGTTTGTCAATAGAGTTATCTGGAAACAAGTCTTGAATTTTACCTTTCAGGAAAAGAAGAAAATATATCCAGTTGAGTTTTAGAAAAGTATGAGGAATAAACCCTGATAAGTTTATTGGCAGGTCCTTGATTATTAATTAAGAACCAAACATTCTTTTATCAAATTTGTAGAGTTTGCATGGTTATGTACAGAAAACAAAAACGACACATGCGAGATGCATCCTTGATCACCAGTGCTCCAGGAACATCCGCAAAGCGACCACGCGAAAGACTTCTACATCCTCTCGGGAAAACACTGCACCAGGTTGGAGATCACGGCAGGCAGGAAGGGAGAGAGGGGCTGGAGAGGCCTCGGCTGTCTCCCTTCGTTAAGTGGAGACTTTTATCTAATACTCCAAAGACAAGTCCAGTATTGAAATTCCACAGTTACATACAGACACGTCAGAGGCATCCAGAATGAACAGCTCAAATGAGAAATAGTCGGCAATGGGTAGTTTGGGCGCATTGAGGAGCTTCTGGAAGCCTCTAGAACAGAGTTCACTGTTTGATCCTCTAAACCAGTGGTTCTCAACCTTCCTAATGCCGCGACCCTTTAATACAGTTCCTCATGTTGTGGTGACCCCAACCATAAAATTATTTTTGTTGCTACGTCATAACTGTAATTTTGCTGCTGTTATGTCTTAGGCGACCCCTGTGAAAGGGTTGTTCAACCCCAAAGAGGTCGCGACCCACAGGTTGAGAACCGCTGCTAAACAAAACATGAGACATTCCTGGGAAGGATAAGGTTTGCGAAAGAAAGATGCTCCTTTTTCCCTTGGATATCAAGTTGTACCCTGTGAAACAGAAACAAAGCTTAACCTTAAACAAAAGATGGTTTCAGTCTATAGAAATAATTAGTCCTGGCACAGTGTTGCACCGGGCCTATCGGGTATTGGGTTGTCAGTCTGGTTTCGAGAGTGGAAGTGGAGGGCGTGAAAGAAGCAGTGGAATAAGCACGGTGAACCTGGAGCGGGAAGGCGGTGGGCTGGAGGGCCACATGGCATCGGAAAGCAGAGGCCCACCTGTACGGCTCGGGAGAGATTTGATCAGTCTCTTCCTACAGAGATGACGGATTCACCCAGCATGTGAATGTCACCCACCAAGTTAAAGTATGTTTCGGTGTAACTGAGTAAATGGAAAATTGAGCCCATAGGTTTCTTCAGATATCTGCATCAGTCAGATAAAGTCCTGGGAGAACAGACAGAATTGTCCCTGTTGTTGAAAACCTCAGCATGACTGGAACCTCTATGAGCAGATTAATGTTCAAATATGCCATGAGGCCCAGCCTACCAACATTACTCTGACCATCTGAGACACTAGTCAAATCCGAGGAGCAGGAATAGGAGGGGAAGAAGGGAGAAATGAGGAGAAAGAGGAGGAGAGAGAGAAGGGGGGAGGGGGGCCGAGGTAAAGGAAGTAGAAAAGGAAGGGGAGGAGGAACAGGAGGAACAGGAGGCGGGGAGACTAGGAGGAGAAGGGAGAGGGGACGGGTACTGGGGAACATGGGATGCTGACCTTCCGTCATCTTTGAGACCCAGGTGTTGACAGCTCTTTGGAGGCAGAACTGTGCCATGAGGCTGCATTCCTAACTAAACTATCAGCAGGTCTCCAAAAAAAATATGCATATTACATACTTTTTATGAAAAACAGCATACATCAGCATATATCAGAGTTAATAAATAGGTAAGTACTAAGCCATGAATAGCCAGAAATGGATAAATGAATTTTTTAGTAGTCAAATTCTAAGTAATTTAAGGTATAGTTATAGAACTATGATATGTTTAAAACAATGTTTACCATAAGTTTGAGTTTTCAAGAGTCTTTCTCTCAGACTCTGTATTTTGATTCAAACTACTGAGAGGAATTCATATGTCTGTTCTCCAAGAGCCTGCTGGCTGGTCTGAGCAGGTACCAGCTTCGTTCACTTCAGCAAGAAGTGACTGGAAACGTGCATGAATGTCCTTCTCTGTGTTCAAAGAACACCCATGTTGAGAAAAATAATTTTAAATTATCAATATTGTTCTTTGGTCTCAAAATACTTCACAAAATTTTCCTTTAAAAGACATTGCTTTTACTTTAATTGCATATTTAACACGTGCTAAGGAATCAACACAATGTTGGGGTGAAGGGAAGATACAGAGGGAAAAAGAGAGAAAGAAAAGAAGGTGAGGAGGAGAGAAGAGAGGACAGGAAAAGGGGGAGTAAAAGAGTTGGCTTTCTGCTTAAATTGATCTCTTGTTTGAAGATGTGTAATAGGAAAGAAATGAGAAGAATAAGAGAGATTTATAAAGAGGTTATTTTAAAATATTGCATCCCAATGAAAGCATACATATGCTTTAAATAGAAGAAAATGTAGCTCTAAGATTTACTCCCAAAATGCCATTCAAAGTATTAAAAAATCAAGAAGAAATGGGCCAAGATACAGTTATTTTGGGAAAGACTTTTAGTCTCTGACAGCTTAAAATAGTCTCTGACAGCTTAAAAGAATCCAAAGCTACTTCTGGATTCCCACTCGTTGTCTACTTGAGCGCTAGAGGGTAAGGAACTCTCAGTGTCACGCCTCATAAAGAAACCAGACAGTCTGGGGTGCTCTAAGAACCGCTCCTACCAGAGTTCACTGCCTGGCTAGCCTCAAACATAGAATACTTCATTGAGTATAAAGGACACACAGAAACCTTCCCTCCTGCATACCATGCACTGGAAAGTGATTTAAGTGAGTGATGGTACTAAAAAGGATTCTCAAGGAAAAAGGAATTCATGTGGAAACAAAGAGCACACTGACCAACCCTCTACAGTGAAGGTGTGTGCAGGGCTCTGAGCTCAGCTATGATACAAGCTTTTAGGTTTTGCCTCAGGTGTGTCTCCAGCCCACTCTATAAAACCCCTGGGCACAAACAGAAAGGGAACTTTCATTATTTTCAGGTGTTTACCAAATATTTGTCAAATTCATGTATCTAATACATACGAAGTCGGTACATGTACTAGGAACAGGCCTTTTTAACCTCTTTGCATATTTCTGTTTACACCCTTCCTGACCTGGACAGCAAGTTGGTATATCAATGACCTGAAATAGATATTAATCTATCCTTCCTTACCAAAGAGCAACTAGTTACAAAGTCTTTTATTTATTTATTTCTAAATAAAGACCAAGTGCGCCCTGGCCGGTTTGGCTCAGCGGTTAGAGCGTTCGCCTGCGGTCCGGAGAGGCCCAGGTTCGGTTCCCACTAAGGGCATGTACCTCGGTTGCAGTTTGTCCCCGGCCCTGGTTGGTCGTGCGGGTGGCAGCCACTCGATGTGTCCCTTTCACATCGATGTTTCCCTCTCTCTCCCTCCCACTCTGTCTGTACAAGAAATGGAAAAATGTCCTCGGATGAGGATTAAAAAAATAAAAAATAAAGACCAAGTGCTAGGAAAAAGTTTTGATAGTTTTACCCAGGTTATTAATGGGAGAAACTTTTCCTTAAAATATCAAGGAAGGAGACCCCCAGCCCTGCCTTTTGCATCTTCTTCATGAGGGAGGAGGCTGGGAGATGACAGAGCAGAACAACGGAAAAGGTGGCTCTTCCCCCGGCGACAGATAGGCGGTTTACCTGGCCCATCTGGGCAGCGGTGTCCCCTTTCGCTCCCAGGAGGACCATGGCCAGGGCAGAGGAGATGCTCAGAGAAGGAAAAAACACGTTGTGAGAAGGGTTGTCTTCATGCCTTCAAGAGGCAGAGGGCAAAGGTGCCATTTGCTTCAGAAAGAGCATCCATGACTCAGGGTCTGGAGCCAGAGAACAAAACAAAGGCTGCTTGAATACCTCCCTGAGTGTTACTGCCTGACACAGGAGAATTTTGGAAGTTGACCCGTCCCGCAGGTAGAGCAACGAGGACTCTAGAGGGGGAGTGAGGATGAGGAGGGACAAGAGATAGGAGAAATGGAGACAAGACAGGGCTCTGATCAAGTCTCATTTATTCTGGGGAGATCCACAGTATATATATATGGCAAGAAGCAGAAAAACAAGAACATTTGTTGCCAAGCATGTCTGTGGTGACCACCCCGAAGCAATTTCAAGTAAATATCATGTAAATCACAGGTGGAACAAAAGACAAACAGCATAACTGGCTGAGTCAATGGTTACTTAAAGGAATGCAGAAACATTGTATGCAGAGATGCAGACAGAGATATCCTGCCTTGGGGCAGGAGATGGCAGAGCAGATTTTTGCAAAATGGATGCCATGCAAACAGTCTCCCACAGGTCCCCCTTTTTAAAAATTTTTTTAAGGCCGAAATAATACCTTGAGGGGACTGTGCCTGTCTTAGGTCAGGAAACTTGCACACGGTGCCAACCTGTCCTTACCCGTCATTGGAAAGCAAGGCAGCATAAGGCCTTGTTCCTGTCTTAGGCGGTGGTTGGCGACGCGTGTGAGTTCCAGTTGCCCGTCTCTGGCTAACCAGCCCAGCGCACCAAGGTGACGAGGTTTTTGAGCTTATTGACTCACAGCTAGAGTGAGCTTCTCTGTCGGCCATTTCAAGTCTATGATAGTGGTGGACCTGTATAGATTGCATCTTAATGGCATCTATCTGCTGCTTGATGAAAGCCATCACCTTATTGAAGAGGAAGGGTCCTAGTGACACAATCAGTAAAAGGCCAAGTAAGGGGCCCAACAGAGGGAGAAGATACACCCCATTTAGCCCGCTCCAAAGGGGGTTATTGAAAAGTTCTTTTTAAGCAGCAGCGTTCCTGCAAGGCAGTCACATAGGGGGCCAAATAAGGTCCTCAGGAGCTCGTCAGGGTGTGGAGGAGGCCCCAACCTCCTTCCACAAGCAGGCAAAGATGCAGTAGTATCCCTGCAGTAAGATTTCAGCATTCCGGTCCATTCCTGAAAAGAAAAAACAGGAAAAGCCACTCAGGGCGAATTTTCGTCCCTGGAGTTATCTATATGGTTATCTGTTATTCCTTTAACTTGATCAATCTGTTTAACCAGACGCTCTGGTAGCCATCTGGCAGATTTCATTTTCTTAGAGTAAATGCATACAGAACCTCAGCCCCAGATGAGGACTGGGTCTGGGCCATGCCAAGAGTTGGTTAGTGGATCTTTCCACAGTACTGCTGCAAATTGTTTTTGAGTTTCTGTATGCCAAAGGCGATTAGCAGCAGATTGCCCATCAGTGTCCAAATTTAAAAAATTGAGGATAAATAAGGCATGAGAGAGAATATTTCTGGGTGACCCCCTCGTGGGATACCATTCTCCCTTTTTTATTTTATTAATGGTGATATTTAAAGACAGATGTGCTCTCTCTACAATACCTTGGCCCTGAGGGTTGTAAGGTATACCTGTTATGTGTTGAATATTGAGGCGTTTGCAAAATTGGGAGAAGGCTGAACTTGTATAGCCTGGGCCGTTATCGGTTTTCAATTGCTGTGGGCATCCCAGAACTGTAAATGTGGTTAGCATGTGACTGATCACATGTTTTGTGGCTTCACAAGTTTGGAGGGAAGCATAAATGAATCCACTAAAGGTATCTATGATAACATGTACATATTTAAGATTTCCAAATTCAGAGATGTGAGTAACATCCACCTGCCATAATGCATTAGGAATTAGTCCCCTTGGGTTTACTCCAAGGTGGGGGACCGGCAAATGAGTGGCACAGGAGTGGCAGTTTTTAACAATCTGCCTAGCTTGTTCCCTAGTAATCTGATGCATGAGGCGAAGCGTTTTAGCATTGAGATGATGTAATCGATGACTGTTCTGCGCTAGGGTGATTTTACCAGAGCTGTTATCAATGGCTGTAAACACTTGATTAGAATCCTGGAGGCGAGTAGCTAGGTCAGCTTTTTGGTTTCCCTCAGCAAGAGGTCCTGGCAGCCCAGAATGGGCGCGTAAGTGGCCTACGTAAAATGGGTGAACTCTTTTTGTAATTAGCTTCTGTAACTGCCTAAACAAATTTCCTGCATTGGTTATGTTTTTTACCTGTCCAGCTGTTTCTAATAGAGGTATAGAATGTGCGATGTATGCACTATCTGTGTAAATATTGAGAGATTGATCTGGGAAGGCAGAAAAAACAGCAACAATGGCTTGCAGTTCCGTTAGTTGAGCAGATGTGCTGCTGGTCATAAATGACACTGTTTGGTCCAGATAAGTGTAAGCAGCTCTACCCGTCGAGGACCCATCAGTAAATACTAGTAAAGCATTTCTCAGAGGCTTAGATGCTGTGAGTATAGGAAAGGTAAACTCATGCTTGTTGGCAAAATCAATAAGTTTGTCTGGTGGATAATGATTGTCTAGAATCCCCGCATAAGAGGCTAGGGAAATGGGCCAAAATTCAGTATTTTGCATGAGCCAGCTAATTTGGTCCACGGTATAGGGTTGTATAATAATATCTGGCTCCTTACCAAAATAACATTTCCCTTGTTTCCTACCCATCATAATGAGATTGGACACTGCCTGATAATATAGCTCAATGACCTTTTTAGGTGTGGCAGGCAAGTGGATCCACATTAAGGGCGCTATCTGCCAGAAAACAGCGGTAGGGGAGAG